CTAATGTTCAATTTACATTTTTATGACTAAAAGACATCACCCAGTGAATGTCCACATTAGAAGAAAAATTGGGACCATCAATTGCTTTATATTACCTCATCTTTGATCAAACCTATCAAATAAGTTACATTCTAAATAGTTATAGTAATCACAAGGGAACAAAGTGTTCCTTAGGTGTTCAATACCATCACCTGGGCATAATCCATCATGTCCTTTGAATACAAACTGTCGCTCCAGGTGTTTAATTAGTTCTTCATTCCTTTGAATAAAATTACCATTGGTAAAATAGCAACTTTGTAAGAACTCTAACTGCAAAACTCCCAGACCGTGTATGAACCCATTCATTCATAAAATGTTTACATCCACCCTGGTACGAGGCAATGGGTATTTTCAATTTGGTTTCTTACTTAACTCTTGGTCTTGAACCTTATTATGTTAGAGGATGGTGTTTCTAAGGCAGCATTCACATCTTACGATATACTGCTTTTAAAACTCGCTGAATTGCACCTCATTCAGTTTTGCTGTATTAATGTGTGCCTTTATTGCTGCCAAACAAAAATGTTTGTATTGTAAACTTTTTGCTACAATCACAGGATGGGACAAAACTGTCCACATTTTTAGTTGGTCATAGTTTTTGATATTGCATAGGCCTATATTTTTGAAATATCTTTTGATGTAGATGCAGAATTCGCGTTTTGCAATTGTTCCTGCAAAAGGATAAATAATTCTTGTAAAATTGTAACCTCAAATATGAATATGACCTTGGAATCCATGCATTATGAAAAAAAATTTCCCCAAATAAAAGTATGGATAGTTTTTAGCCCACCCTGTATTATTTGGATGAAAATGTAAAAATGATAATGGGAAAAAGCAAGACATTGTTGATATATTGTTGACATATATTTGTAATTGTAAGTGAAAATAATATTAATTTATAAAAGCATATTGATATTGTATTATTTATTTAGATTTCAAACTGCTTTTTGATTTCAGTTTTTATGATAAGGGATGTTCTAAGTACATATTTATCACTAGGTTTTCTATCAAATACATTTCACATCAACTTTGAACATGAAATGGATAATACTTTTGCAATTATAATGAACTGCAATAATTGTCTTGTTATGAGGATTTTGGGGAATCCATCCTCCAAAGCAGGTATCCAGAATCCGTACCTCCTTCCCCCTGCTATAACCAATTTGGAAGCACCCGATTAAACTGAATCACATGATCTAATTATGCGCAATGACTTATACATGATTTAGCCAATCAGATTGCGAGTTCTTAATCGCGGAAATGCTAACTGCTTATCGCAGGGGGTAAAAAGAAAGAATATATTCTGGATTTTAAAGACCTGTGATCGGAGGAATGGGGGAATCTCACCTAGAATGTTTGCTGATGATAGTTTTCAGAAATAAGAAGTATGAAGGTGTGTATTAAAAGTAAGTTTCTTAGCATCTGGAAAAAAGTATTTTTGGGAAAAATAACATGTTCAGTCATTTCCCAGATGTCCTATTTTATCCATATATCTAAATGTGGTGGATGAAATGGAAATATAAAAGCTAAAACAAGTTATATAATAGCTTGTTTATGTTTCTTATGTCACACTATTGATTTGACCACTGTGCTTTGCAATTATTTAAAAGTAAAAAAGAGAGTCACTTTTCTGCGATCTAGGAAAACGTTTTTCATATTTTGTAACTTGGTAGCCACATTTTACAAAGAATGTACAGAAAATATTGCCCCTCCAAAGGATAATGACCTCAGATGTGATAAATATAGAGAAATACCCTCTATTTAAGAGGTTGTACAGAAAATCATGCACATTTGAAAATTGTCAAGATTTATATTACAATAAAATGTATTATAAATGTAATATATAATTAAATGATTTTGTTCATCAAATGATGGAATTTTAATCCCGCCAAGTTAACAACATGCAGATATAGTCATTTGCTTTTAATGCTGCGATTCTGCACTTATATTTTAACGGCACTATGGAAAGTGAGAAACAAAATTTGGGAAAATATTTAAAAATCAGTATTAAGATAAAACAGATTTGATACTAGATTTTACATTAATTTGAGAGAAAATAGATGAATACTAAATCATATTCAAAATAAGTGGTTCTTTTGACTTGGATCAGTATTAATTAGCATGTCGGAACCTTTAAGTCTTAACGTTGAAGCAGACGTGTTACTTATTACTGATATACTATATACATTAACCTGGTGATCATGAAAATATGGCGAAATATATACTCAGTTAAAAACAAATTCCATTCAGAATATAAAAAATCATTCATTGTCCAAATTTGATTAATAAACTTAATAAAATTTCAAATTGAAAAATGTATATTTTCATAATTTTGTTTTAGCCTTAGAATTAAGATCACTTGTCTATTTCATTATTCATTTGAATGTTTCAAATGCCATATGCACAAAACAAACCCCTTTCAACAGTTTTATTAAATCGAATCTTTCTGAAGATCTTAAATAAATATATAGTATAAATGTCAGTTTTTATTAAGAAAATACAAATTATTCAGTTTGTTTTGACATATTGCACTTAAAGTACAATGTACTTTAGAGATCCTGTCACAGTCTCTGACAACGATTGGGCATGGAATTTGTGACAACACGTAGGCACGGAGTACGTTAATGAACCTAAAGAATATAGGGCTGTTTTGATTGAATATTTAATAATTCAAAATATATCGGGAAATAGTCTAACATGCAAGGATCTAGTTCAGTTTATGTTGTAACTCCACCAAATCTAAATGAAGATGTGGTTGTTCAAAGTCAATCCACCGAGAAGGAAATAAATGGGAAAATAGGAAAATTAAGGAGTAAGTTTTTTGTATTTTTCACGCTGTTATTAAGATATTGAAAATCAGTGCTACGAATGTTTGGTGTCATCTCGATCAATTTCAGGGTGACGCTAAAATAATGACAGCAAAAAGGTGTGCCGTGGTGTTCTATAAACTTGTTAATATATTTTGAATTAATATAGTACATATCTCAATGTCAGTGTCAATCAATGAATATGTTTAAAGAAGCATCCTCAGCAGTTGAAGTCACTTTGACTTAATATATCAAGATATGATGAATATGTGAATAGAATTTCTGTAAAATTGATATTCATATCAAATGTACTGCAGACATATTTGAACCATCATGTCGATGGACGCTGGCAATTGTTGGCTTCCTTGGTTTCGTTTGGGTATATGCGCTAAGGATCAACTTCAGTATGGGCATCGTCTGCATGACAATTGATCCTGTGTCAACTGCTGACAATGGTTCCAAGAACGAAACGATCTCAACTGACGATGGACGTTTTAATGTATCACAGAGCAACATGGCATGCAATGAGGATATATGGGATTCAAACAATCTTAACACATCTCGGGTAAATACTATTCAGCAGTAATTAAACTTTTTATTGTTGTATCTATGAAAAAGATGAACTACCCCGAACTTAATCATGCTAATCTGCTGGCAAGAGAAGGACATAGCACAGAAATCATAAATGAAGTTTTCGCTATGTAAAAATAAACCTCTGGAGTCCCGTGTCTAGACTATGGGGTTAGGCATAGGCGTAGCCAGGGGGTGCGAGAGGTGCGAACGCACCCCCCCCTCCATAAGCAATATATGGGGGGGGGCTTTAAATGCTTTTTATTTGAAGCTTCTGGCTCAATTTTCAAGGAAGTTACATCATTTTTTGTAAAATTCAAAACAAAACTTTTTGACTCGCTTAAGCCACAATTGCACCCCCCCCCCCCCCCCTGACTGAAAGCCGATTTTTGGCGATCGCAGAGGATACATCCACTCGATGAAATATCAGTTTGACTATTTCCCTCAATGGCAGTACTATTTGTATCAAAATCATTATTCAGTCTGGTATTTAGCGAGCTATAACATCAATAAAAGGAGGAATGATATTAATAGCTGGAATTTGTTTTTTCGTGAACAAAGCCCAAAATGTCGCAAGTTTAAAATGTTATTCAAATCAGATGAATAAAATGTCACTTAATCAAACGGCATTAAATGAAATGGCACGTTTGTTAACATTGGGGATCATTAAACCAGTGCGATTTTGTTACACGCGTTAAGTATATTTAAAACTCATAAAAGCTGACGATTGATACTTGAAACGCTAATTACTTTCTCAACCTAATTTAGTATATTTGGCCTACGCCCATAGTCTGCAGTATAAGGTTCAAATTGAACGATATGAAATGATAGAAAGTTTGTCTAATTTTTCTGAATATTAATCGTTCAAATACACATACAAAATAAATGTGCAATTTCTGGTTAAATCACGTTAATATTTAATGCTACAAATTAAAATGTTATCTTCGAGTATATTCTTTTAGCATGGTGAATTTCACTGGAGCAAACAAACGCAAGGACAACTTTTGAGTTCTGTTTTCTTTGGATACATTCTAACTCAAATCCCAGGTGGTTATATGGCACAGAAGTATGGGGGTAAACGAGTATTCGGGGCAGGTATGCTGTTTGCCACAATAGCGACACTGCTGACACCTATAAGTGCCCGGACGAATATAATATTACTTTATGCGTGTAGAGTCGTAATAGGAATAGGTTTGGTAAGTAGTTCTGAATGTGATTATTATCCTATTTAATCGTGTAATCAAACTTTATGAGCTATATGGGAACTCTTAATATTTATATTCATCAATTGTTTGTCTTATACTGACAGGGTGTCACATTTCCAGCGATGCATACCCTCTGGGCGTTCTGGGCACCAATCATGGAGAGGAGTAAGCTCATGACCTTCTGTTACGCAGGTATAGAACTACATTTTGCATCTTCAAAATGATCATGTTTCACTCAAAATGACATCAATTTGTATATGAACTAAATCACTAGAATTTATACTTATGAAGTTATCATGAATGTGCGATGTCTCAAACAGGAGTAACTCTTCGTAGCCTGTTAGATGTTCAGTCATTCGGCAACTGATATGAAATATATTTTAGGCACAACCATTGGTAATATCGCCTCCTTGGCATTATCTGGACTCCTCTGTAATGTTAACATTGACAATGGCTGGCCCATGATTTACTATTTCTTTGGTGGAATGACGGCGTTGTGGTTTCTACTTTGGACATTTTTAGTCTACGATAACCCAAAGACGCATCCCAGAATAACAGAAGAGGAAAGACTCTTTATTGAACAGTACCATGCGATGTCCAGTGCTGGTTTTATGGCTGGCAAATCTAAGTTTCCTTTCAAATCTATTGCCAAATCTCGCCCTGTTTGGGCAATCATCATTGCACAAAGCTGCAACTCTTGGACCAGCTATACACTTGGAACGTCTATGCCGCTTTACATGGAAGAGGTGCTAAGGTTTGATGTACATATAGTAAGTACAATAGATCAGTTAAGCACAAACCAATGGGCAGCTCCACCATGTACAAACGGAATCCGAGTATTCAAACCCCTCTTGATTTATGATTTATTGATATGATGTTCGTCGCTTAACTCCCATATCCAAGTCTAAGGAGTTGATCAACCCCATCGTTGTTGCTTCACATTTATGGGATCATCTCATTATACCGACGCGCATTATACCGAAACCCATTATACCGACGCGCATCGTGCCGAAAACCAATATAGGCCTACCGATGCGCGTTGTACCGAAATCCGTGCCATTGGGATGCCATTAGTTTTATGACCTGCACTTCCGCGTGGGACTATATCTTTACAGCGGGAATTTCAAGTTTTTGTCAGTGTAGACATAAAAAGTTGCAGTCCTCATACTCGCGCGTTTTTCGATATTTTCATTTGAAACTCGCAAGAACGGCGCTTTGATTCTAGCTCTTTTACTCTTTCAAAACATCATATAGACACATGATTATGTACATGTATGATAGTGCACAGTAACATTATATAGGCATAGTATAATAAAAGTTGAGCCTGAAAAGTCAAATATTGTGCTATGTTGAAAAGCCAAGAGAAATTCTACTGTATCAGCATATAACTAGTTTATATTACTTTATCATACACCTTGGTTCAAATTATACATGATTTTTTCATTGAACAGACAAGTCTCGAAAATCAAAAATTCATTTTTATTTACTTCCACAATATTTAAACTTTAAATACTTTTTAATATGAGACTGGGAGGTCAATCTGTTTTTTATATATTCGTATTAAATCAAAAGTTTATCGCGCAAAGACAGTATTTTCAGATAAAGCTTAGGCCTAATTTAAAATCTTTCATCTTTACATCACAGTTGCGGCCAGAAACTTTTTAACTAATGCTAGGCGTTTCGGATTGAGGGTTCGTCTCGACAAACTTAATTCCAGTTAACCATCAATTTCTGTATTTCAAAGAGCATAAAGTCATCATTCTGTTATTTATGTTTGATTATGGTAAACCCTGTACTTCATAAAATATATTTAACTGTGGTAAATTCTGTATTCAATGAAGTAAACATTTATTTATACTGTATGTATTGTTTCATTGGTAGAAATAAATAAATGTAAAGTTTCACATTTCTTATTGAACTTGATCATTACTGTATTTTCGATCTTGTGCTGATGGGGCCAAAATTGTTGTCATGGAGAGAGAGAGCAAGATATGTTGTCATGGAGATAGTAAGAAATGCATTCATTTGTTTTACTTTAAATCTTTCCAAACCCAAGTGTGATTTTTATCAATGTGTGCCTCAATGATCATATTAATTCTGAAGTAATTTCATTTTCTAACCATTTCACAAATTCTTAACTATAATACTTCTAAATTGGCATCATTTCCATGTTTAAATTGCTATACAGTTTTTATCTACTGATATTATCTTCATCATCAGTTTTCATTCCACAAACGAAATATCAATTATTTTTCCCAATATTTCAGTTACATATAGTTCAATTATATTGAAACATTGAATACATGTTTTAATTGGCAGTATGGTGCTCATTAACTAACTCCAATATTCAGCGTCCCTTTAATATCTATTTAGGGGCAAATCAATACTAGGCTTAGCAGGTGATCTGAATCTGAATTTGATTGATTTGAATTGATTCTCAATTGGGACCCATAGGGACTTTGCCCCGCTGTTCTTGGTTGAGTTAAAGTCATGGCACTAATTGATACAAAAATTAAACTACCCACGAATGCTGTTTTTCCTCCGGGGCCTTGCCATAACTAACGAAAACAATGGTGTGGACATTTCTGGATTATTTCTGGTGTTTCCTTTTGTTGCTACCTCATTTCTCAAAGTATCCATGCAAATTTCTTGACTCTGTTGAAAGCCCATGGTCCAATCAACCGTACCTCCATATCTTATGATGACCGCACGACAAAATGATAGCGCATGGGACCCGACTGTGCCAAATGCTACGGATATTGCAACTATGTGTGTTGTGTTTTCAAGTGTTATTTTATATATGTCCGACAAATCGAATTATGGTTTTGATACTATCTAGATGTATTTAATAGTATCTAGATGTCTCGTTCATTCATTTGACCAATAAATATCATAACTGCCTGAAAAGTAATATAAATAAAGTATGTTAATAAATGAATTAAAACGTCAAATCAAGAAGCAAAAGTCTTTTCTGGGTCACTGCGAATGGCATGATTTCCTCGAGTCTCTTCAGTTGCAAGGCAACCATACTGGGACCGATTCGCGTCGTTCCACTACTGCCCTTGGTGGGGGCCCGCTACCATACTATATGACTTCCGGAGTTTACTAAAGCACGTTAGTGGAGGAACCAACCACAGTCTCACAATCTGTCTCCGGCAAGAGCGGCCAGAGAACCAACCCATGCCAAGGGCCGGTAAACGGTTGGACCTTCGGACCGGGTGTCCGTAGTGACAATGATCAACAACTCCGTACCTGGGGCTCGAACGCGGGACCTCCGTATCCCACGACGTTCAACCACAAAGTAGCCTCAGTCTACGCCACTAGGCTACCCTGCTTAGGTGTCAAAACTGCTAAAAAATAATGTAGTTGTTACAATTATTTGCTTGGATAAACATGATATTACATTTCTTAATTGATTAATCTAATTTAGTTGGAATCGAAGTTCGACCAATGATCAAGGCAATGCAATCAACAACTCTTGCAAATGTGAACGGAGGTCGTAAAGACAGAAAGTACAAGAATCGTGATCAATGTGAAGTATAATATTTAAGACACATCTTTGAAAATCGGATAGGAGAAACATTTTAAAATGAAGAAGAATCATCAAGAACATTTGATGATTTGTTGCCAATGTATCAATTGCGTCTCAAATATGAATGAAATAAAAGGTATCGCGGGCCACTAAAGCCGATGAGTGAAAACAATTATAATTGACGCATCTAGATCGCTCAATATAACGGTAAGTGAATAGGTTTGTGTAGAATTTGTAGATGCGTCGAGGAAAATAAGCTATTTCGACGCTTGAAATAATCTGATTACGCTTATAATAATTACGCGTGGCTATTAAACACAAGTATTGTGTACAACAAAAACAAGCAAACTAAACGACCTATTAAGGAACTGTACTTCAGTTTCAAAGTGTTCAAGATATTTCCGCATGTTCAAAACACAAAATTTATATTTAAGGCTATATTTTGTCAGATATCTCCAATTCATATTTCAGGGAAAACATAATCATGTTTCCGAAAAGAATTTACACTCACTACTCAAAATGAGGCACGAACACAAGTACAGAGAATAGCCTAGTGAAGGCATCTTACTATCTAATAGTGGCTTTTCCATATAGCTTCGAAATGTCGTTCAGGTTTCGTTTTAATGAGATTTTAGGAGATCTGGATTTTTAACAACTAAAGACTAACATTTTCTTCTGTTGAATTCTGTGTGTAATTTTCTATCAAAACAACTTAGTTTTTGCACTGTTATTTACCTTTATTCAAATCTAGAGATTTTCAAGTTTTCTAAAAATGGTCGGGCTATAAATCCCCATTGAAGCATTTTATAAATCCTGAGAAAGGTAACTGTTAATGTATGTTCCACTAATGAAAACTTTTGTTTCTTCTATAATTATTTTATTTATTTATCAAATAAAAACAATTGTACATACAATGTACACTACAATACAGATCAACAGAAAATGAATACATGAAAAATGAATGGGACGGATATTCATATTTGGCTATTGCACATCATAATGTGCATATGTGGAATTGTCACTTTTCATTCATCTCAATTATAGGCTCCAAACATCACTGTTTATTTACTCTAATTCAAATCTGTTTGTAAAAATAACATTTACCGTATTCCTGCTATTTGATAACCGAGCTGGCTTATATTTCCTTAAAGTTATGATGTACGACATCCAAATGTTTTGTTAGGACATTTCCAAAGAGATAGCTTTTTCTATACCACTACAACAAGAAGTGTTGACATATTGTTAAAGCCACCATGTTTTCGAAACCAGCATCAAGGGACAGTATTTGGCATCTGTAACACTTGTTACACTTTTTAGAAGGTAATATCTTGGGTCTAAATATAATGCCTTGTTATTGAGGAAGCTACCAACTTCTATCTTTTAAAACTGAACTTCCTGGATATGTGTTTTTTGTTTTCTCGATTAAAACTTATGTTGCGGATTATCATTTGGCACAACGTTAGAAAATATAGTCTAGCTTTTAGAAATATTCTCGGTGTGGAATTTGATTTTCCAATAAAGCTGTAATTTGTGCATTTAGACCATCGCTTTTGTTACATTGACGTAAGTCGTCAAAGTAACATACATTGGTAATATAACGGGCTTTCGTCAATGTAATCAAAGCGAGGGGCTTATGAATTACAGCTTCATTTACAAAACAAATTTCAAATCGAAGAAACTTATTAAAACTAGGCTATATTTTCTAACTTTGGGCCAAATTATAATCTGCAACTTGACTTATTAGTAGGTTTAAATCGAGAAAGCAAAAATTCGTAACCAGGAATTTATCCACTTTGTTACATTGACATTCCGTCAAAGTAACTAGTTGTGGAACAGTGATTATGGCATTCGGTCACGCCTTTCGGTACAATGCGCGTCGGTGTAATGGGTTTCGGTATAATGCGCGTCGGTATACTGGGTTTAATGGGTATAATGCGCGGACCCAACATTTATCACCCCATTCTGATTTGTCTTGTTAATGTTTTCTGGTATCCGTCTAAGTTATCTATGTATACATGGTGGCCTTCATTAATGTGCAACCGTTGTATAAAAAGGCCAAACTTCGATTACATATCGTCTAAACTTGTCAAAATTCATCGAGGAACCACATTTTAAAACACAAAGATATCAACATCATGTGTTGTCCAGAGGAACCTCTACGCACCCAGCCGAATGCTCGAATGCACTTTTTGAAAATGCAATTTTGATTATTTGCAAGTATCTAATAAAATGTTTCGAT